AACATTAACAATTAGAAATAACCACAGTGAAAACAGAAAATTCTCCCTCTCTCTCTCTTTCCCCCATGGTGTGTAAATTCAAGCAATACAAACAATGAAGACCAGAACTGACCATGGTGAACACAGAAAATTCTCTCTCTCTCTCTGTCCATCCTCGTAGTGTTTAAATTCAAGCAGTACAAACATTGAAGATCAGAACTGACCATTGTGAAAATAGAAAATTTGATGTTTAGCAGCTTACCAGTAAGATTTATAATTTCTTCTGTACAAATACCATGAACTTCCTATCATACAAATGTGCATGATTCACGCATTCATAAAAAACAGCAATGTCACTCACACACCCTTCATAGGTGCATCTTGGAGGGCTTTTATTATTATAACAGCATAATATTATTTAACAAATTTTAAAGACCATTGACCTTTATTGTCTGTGAAAAATAAGCAGGATAATCCCTTACTTGAACGAAGTTCAAAACTCTTTTTTTATTATTCTTTATGGTAATTTTGTAAATTATTTACAATGCCCTATATGGAAGGACTTGCCCTATTATGAATAATCATAGTGGAATAAAACCACAAAACTTTACAAATATATAAATTTTAAACATGCACATCATATATCTGCATTAGATTTTTGAAAAAGTACAGGTGAACAACTCCTAGGATCCAGGTGTCATGACTACCATGTCATGAAAATATTTGGCTAAGGGCTGGGTGACATGAATATACCTTCATGAAAAAAATCTGGCTGATGGCAGAGGTGGTGCGAACATGTTGTCATGAGAATTTTAGCAGAAGGCCAGGTTGAAGGGAATTACTTGCTATGAGTGCCCAAAGCTCTATGAGGGTGACTATTCTCAATGGGCATATAAGCATGGGGTCTAGCATTATTTTCATCGGTAAAAAGTGTGGTATGTACCATTCTAGAGCTATGACTGGAAGAATGCTGGCTCTAAGGAGGACCCTGTTTCCATGCTTAGGTGCGTTACAGAAAAATTAACATTACAAATACATAAAAAATTACACAAATAACAAAATGTTACTTGTTCTTATTGTTAACGCACAAAGTTAAAGACTGTTGGTCTAGCAATCTTGCTGACCTGTGTTCAATCCCGTGTGCTTCCTGTGGATGGTAACCCTGGCCATTCCTTGCAAACAGGGAGATCAGAAGCAAAAGAAAACAGACAGTATGTCACAGCAAAGGATATCCATTGTAACAAATGGAATTAAAACTAAATCTTGAATCTGCAATCTTAAATCTAGAGATGTGATATGGAGTCTGTGCATGGAAAACATTCTATTACCAAGTTAATATTGAATATCAAATAACAAATATACACCTTGGAAATTGGAAAAAAAATGGGGAGGCACACAAACACACACACATAAATACACATATACATATACATACACACTCACACATATATATACACACTCACACACACACACACACACACACACACACACACACACACACACACACACACNTTCCCGTTTCGATTCTCTTCCGCTCCTTTCTTTCCTTTCCTTGATTCATCCGTTCATTCAACCTTCCTCGGCCCGACCTTTCTCTCTCTCTCTCTCTCTCTCTCTCTCTCTCTCTCTCTCTCTCTCTCTCTCTCTCTCTCTCTCTCTCTCTCTCTCTCTCTCTCTCTCTCTCTTCTCTCTCTCTCTCTCTCCTCCCCCCTCCTCTCTCTCTCTTTCTCTTTGACTTTGACTCCCTCTCCCTCTTCTTATCTGGCTCTGTCTGTCTGTATGTCTATCTGTCCTGCCTGTGTGTCTGCCTGATTACTTTCCTATTAACCTCCCTGTCTGTCTGTGTGTCTGTCTGTACCTGTGTCTGTCTGCCGTTGTCTGTCTGGCTCTCCTTCATATGATCAAACAAAATATAAATCTCGTAACTAATATCAATGTCAACAAATAAATTATTAAACAAACAAAGATTCCCTGATCCATCAATTTAAAACCAATATTGATAAACACCACAAAATATTTCTGGAAGGTACGGCAAGTTTCGACACACTTATAAATAATAGAAATAATCTCTAATTACTATCATCATTATCGTTATTATCATCATTTTTACTATGATCATTATCATTATTAATAATATCATTTTTACTATGATCACCACCATCGCCATCATCATAATTATAATTATCATCACCGTCATTGTCCCCTTCCTCTTTATCATCATTATCTATATCATTTAACCAAGTATCGCAATAAATGAATTCCTCGCTTATCCCCACCTCGCCAATACGCCCATCTCACTCTCACTCTCTCTCTCTCTCCCTTCCCTCCCTCTCTCTCTCTCTTCCTCTCTCTCCCTTTCCCTTTCCCTTTCCCTTTCCCTTTCCCTTCTCTCTCTCTCTCTCCTCTCTCTCTTCTCTCTCTCTCTCTCTCTCTCTCTCTCTCTCTCTCTCTCTCTCTCTCTCTCTCTCTCTCTCTCTCTCTCTCTCTCGGTCTCTCTTCTCTCTCTCTCTCTCTCTCTCTCTCTCTCTCTCTCTCTCTCTCTCTCTCTCTCTCTCTCTCTCTCTCTCTCTCTCTCTCTCTCTCTCTCTCTCTCTCTCTCTCTCTCCCCCTCTCTCTTTCTAAATATACAAAAACCTTGGCCAATTCTCAGAATGAGGTCCTCTTGTTTTCTATAAATACTTTATTTTTTACTCAATCTAAAGTCCTCAGTGCACTTTCCTAATGCTGATAGCGATTGTTCTCAGAAAAAAAAACGAATAACTTTATTTAGGTCTCGTTTTGAGTTAGAGTCGGCGTGTCTATGTTCCACCCACCACCCACCTGCTTGCCACCCACCCCCACCTACCTGCTTGGCTATTCCACCCACCCACCTACTTGCCTATTCCACCCACCCACCTACCTGCTTGCTTATTTCACCCACGAACTTTTCTCCTTCCTGCCTGCCTGCCTTCTTCCTTTCCTTCCTTCCTTCCCTCATTTACACCTCCCTCCCTCCTCCCTTCCCTCATTTACTCCTTTCTTCCCTCCTTCCTTCCCTTCCCTCATTTACTCCTCCCTTCCTTTCTTCCCTCATTTACTCCTCCCTCTCTCCCTTCCCTCTTTTACTCCCACCTCCCTCCCTCCCATCCCCTCCTTACCTACCTCCTTCCTCCCTTCCTCCCTTGCTCGCGCCCAAACACCTCCTCTCACCCCCCCCTCCCACACCCCCTCCACCGAAACTCCATCAACCATTTCCTGGGCCGACCCTCAGTACCGGTCACCAGCGCCATAAAAAATGATATTATGTACTCCGTTTGAACCTGGTACGATGAACCCTTTTCGATGGAACAATAACCCACTTGGACTACGCAAGAGAAAAAAATTACGATGATATTTTTCTTGTCTATTCTATCAAAGGATGAAAAAGAAAAAGAAAAGTGAAACGAAGAAGAGGAAGAAGAAGAAGAAAAAGAAGAAGACAAAAGAAGAAAAGAAAAAAAGAAAAAGAAGAAGAAAGAAAGATAAAGGAAATGAAAAGGAAAGAAAGAAAGAAGAGGAAGAAGAAACAAAGGAAGAAAATTAATAAGAAAGAAAGAGAAAAAAAAGAAAATGAA